AATCCTGATAAGTTTTGCACCGCTTGGAGTCATATATTTTTTATTATTGGCCCAATTTTCTGAACTTTGAAATCATTACGTAGTGAAAAGTAAATACTTTTATCATTGACTTAGAAATCTTGGCACTGAGCTATAAAGTTGAAATCATCTCCCCAAACCATACGACAGAAGAATATTTTCATCGATAATACAGCTTGTGTTCCCCAGCTGAAATGAGATATTTGAAATAGTGCAGGAGACATCTCCGGCAGGGTGAAATGGTGACGCTCCCGCCATTAGCTAATGATTCTCTCTGTGACATAATCCCATAACATACTCCATTTCATCGAATTACTTGAGGCAGTTGGAGGTTGCGAAGAAAACGATCTGCCAGAAATAGCTCATAAATAAGGAGCGTCTTCTTACGTTCGTTGCACCCCAACAACAAGGACAAGTCAAATAAAGGACGGCTTAACTACTTTAGATGGACCTACTGTCATCGCTGAGAGTCGCTTCTAGCAGGTTTACAGCATTAACTATTTAACAAGCCGTACAAGCGTCTTAGGGTATAATAAACATGCAGTGAAAAATTCTACTTGTGATTCGTAAACGAAGATGATTAACCAGTGTCAGAGTAATGAAGTACCATGGAAGTCTAACAGGGCAAAGAGCACTGAACTCCAATTACTGGACAGTACCTCGAACCAGATTTTAAAGCATATTCCACCGCTCAGGTACTCCTAGTTGCCTAAAGGGACATTTAAGCAAATCACCTCTACGATATTTGAGCATCTGCAGTGTATTATTATTAATGTCCTCCCGGCAAAACGTTTCAGTAACTACTACTAGTAAATGCATATGTTATCAACCAAATATATGTAGACTAGTGCTTCAGAGTAGGCACCAAATACAACAGATTTCGAGCCTACCTAAATATTCCGTCTCCGGATAACCGGAAGCAAGGAAACGGCGCAATTTACTCTGAAATTTGGTGTTTAAGGAGCTACTCACAGACTAACAGCAACAAGTCGTAAACATAATCTGCCACTAGCCCCTTATGAAGCCGAAATAAATTTAGCTGAATATCTCAAAATAAGTCAAATTAGACAAAACAAAATATAACCTTGATATTCTAGGACATTTCTACGAATGGCAGCTTTCCGTTTCTGTCGATAAATGTTACGTTGCTACAATTACTAATAACAGATTTACACGGCGAAAACGAAGCAATATATGTGCTTCTGGTTTCCTAAATACACTGTCTCAGCAGGTCGCGGTTCCATGGTATTTCGTTACATGCACTGTATCGAGAACTGCATCTCAGAATTGGACTGAAGAAGGGCACATTCGTACACGAACTAAATCTGCCAGTATCCATAAACAAATACTACGAAATAAAATATAGATATAAATGTAACCCTACGTAT